TCGTTTTTGTGGAATTGCCATAGACTAGATACATTAAAAAATATACAAAATTTTGCTAGTGGAGATTTATCACAAAACTTACTGGAAAGTGTAAATTGATAAATAAACATGTTTTTCTCAAAAATGTTGTCGATCTCTGATTATTTTTTGTATGGGATAGGTCTGCCACTGAAATTAACTGTTACAAGGTTAGGGTTGACCAATAGAAACACTGGATGGAGAGATAAAACCGAAATTATTAGAATTCTTTATTTAGTTTGAGGTTAGATTATTGTTGATTATTTTGTTTTCAAAACAATTCGTTTCCCTGGAGTTTCAAATAATGATCAATCTTTTAAAATTAAAGTGTGTTTTACTGTCTGTGTGGCTTATTCAATCATAATATCACCCAGTTTTTGCACAATTCGTATTTTTTGTTGTTCTTCGGCTAGATACACCTACAAAGCAATGGAATATTCCAAATACCCCTCGTTCCGCGTGTCCACACATCAAAGGCATACCGCGTCCAGTGTTTTGATTAACTGTCACGTGAGAGTGTATGTAACTTTATTGCGTCTACAACAGTCGTTGGGGCGTCTAGCAAAGTGTCTGGGGATGTTGCAAAGTCCCTCAGTAATTACCTACCGGGTGCGCGAGTTAGGTGTATGTAAATATCTTGCGCTCGCTGTAATAAAAGATATGTACACTTCAAAAAAGGGAATTGGATTTGGGTTAAGCCAAAGTTGAATAGAAATTAGAAATGGCACACCTATGATAAATGACATGTACATGTGTTTGCTGTGTCTGGCTAGAGTGTTCCACTTATTTTACAATTGTCAGTCAGTTGTTTAGATTAGTGGTAAAATCTGTAGTTTTATGTATGTATATACTAAATATGTAATCTATTTTGAAATTGAAAATTTAAATACCAGGCTACTATTGTAACATACTTTATTTTCACTTGGATTTTATCCTTGCTATTTTCACTGATGAGATCATTGATGAGATCAGTGAAAATACCCTTTTTCTACATCTTACATTTTAACTCATCAAAAATCAGTAAAAATAAACTTTATACAAAACAGCCAAAATGTATTTTCAGCAAAAATTAATTCCAGCTAAATATTCTTTATCTGGTTATGTCGATGGACAAGTACATGGTTTTGGCAGAATACGGATTAAAGCAACACCTTGCAGCCATGCCACTTCTGTTTGGCACTAGCACCAACATAACATTATAATGTTCTTACATATAGAAAGTAGGAGGCAGTATACCCAAAATGAAGTTAAATAGATTAACATAAAAACAAAAGATATAATTTTTCTACTATATACTGCAAGAGGGCGCTGTAGCTACTGCCCCAATATTGTGTGTAGTGAAACTATCATCACTTCCATGTAGAGGTACGCCTTGTAAAGAACCACTGTGACAGTATTCTGATATAGGATTGTATGTTTGTTTCAGGTACTTGATCTGCACAGTAATGAATTCAGTGAAATTCCTGAAGAATTTGGAGAGCTACTGTCATTGCAGGTCTTGAACATCAGTTTCAACAAAATTAAAAAACTACCAAAGTCTATCGGCAAATTACAGTCACTTCAGACTTTGATACTTAAAGGTACTGTAAACACTACATGTACAGTTTTATAGCTTTTGTGATAAGGTAAAACAAACCTTGCGAGTACTGTAGAATGCTTTATTTTTGCTTGAAATTTATTTTTGCTGAAGAAATGATTCAGTGAAAATAAAATCCAGCAAATAGACCTTTATTTCCTATATTTTACATTCAACTCATTAAAAATCAGTGAAAATAAATTCCATACAAAACACCCAGCGAAAATTAATTCCAGCTAAAATAAATTATTTTACAGTATCTGTTTTCGTTCAGATATTGATTCATACTGTGCTGGTACATGTATGTTGTCAGTGAGTCGGGGTCATATTCGCTCCCATTCTTGTGTCTCGCACTGACAAACAAAGTTCTCCAGGTGGAGTTTGCTGTAATGGTTGCAGTAGTTGTTCAAATGCAACCATTTGTCAAACTGATTGCCTGCATTGATTTCGAGCTTGAACATTGTTTTTTTTCTGCCATGTTAGATGAGTTCCATCTTTGATGACTCATCAAATGAAACATCGTCCAGCAGCATCAGAATGTAATTTCATAGTTTCTGCTGTTGTGTTTGCCTGATCACCACCCCAATCACTTCCAAGAGCATCTGCCAATCAAAATAGCTCCAATATATTAATCCAGCAGATTAAAATCAGATTAATGGTGTCCATTTATGGCGTAACATCTCATGAGGTTGATTACAATAGAACAATCTTAGCGTGTTCAATCTGACATACAGATTGAATAAAAACTACAAATCACTTCAGTTCTGTGTCATACTATAGTGATTCACACATTATGCATGTAATAATACGAGGTTATTACAAGGATACCTCAAAGTATGCACGAAGACAGTACAGCGAGAGTATCGACCGACGTGCAGCGGAGGTGGATGCGACAGTGTACTGTCTGAATGCATACTTTGAGGTATCCTCGTAATAACCTTATTATTATACATCTTTTTCTTTCAAGGATACGCCATGGGAATGCCGAACTCCCAAATGTTTAGAACAGAATCAGAGAACTTCTTTGTGTGGAGTACGGTCAAACCCTGGTGGCAGCCATGTTTGTTTTTATTATTATAGAACCCTTACGCACGTTATCACGCATTTCCTAGTATGATAGGATGAAAATACCTCATAAAATACCGCAAAATTATGGCACACTGTAACTTATGGTGTTACGGTGACAGATGTATAATAATAAAATATATCTGTGAGTTCTCTAAAAACTGTATTTTACACATACCATTATTAGTAAATGTATTTTAGGTTTCACATAAAATATACTGTCATTTTTTTTCTTTAGGGAATAAATTGCAAGTATTGCCTCAAGAGATTTCTAATTTGGGTAGTCTACGTACACTGGATTTATCCAACAATAGTATTAAGTCATTGCCGAGTGATTTCCATCAGATTAGGACTTTAGAAGTAAGTATGTAATTATTATTACAGTAATAATCATCGTGGAATTGCAGTAAGAATAGGTTATATGATCTGATATTATCAGCTGATATTAGTCATGCAGATTATTGATGTGAGTGACGAAGCCAATTATTCATAACAAAGCATTACAGATGAGGGAATTGATAAAGAACTTGATGTTGCAGTATCTTGATCTTGTCTAATATGTATACTTTGTTGGAGGACCTATTTCAATGATTGGTTGAAATGGATATATGTTAATGACATTTATGTTTCTTTAGAATATTATCTTGGATGTGAAACAGATGACAATGCCACCTTCTGCTATATGCAGTGAAGGAACTGATGCAATCATGAAGTACCTCTGTTCAGGTAGGCATATTCACATCAGAGATTTACCTCTGTTCAGGTATATAGGCATATTCACATCAGAGATTTACCTCTGTTCAGTTAGGCATATTCACATTGGAGAAGTAGCTCTGTTCAGTTAGGCATATTCACATCAGAGATTTACCTCTGTTCAGGTAGACATATTCACATCAGAGATTTACCTCTGTTCAAGTAGGCATATCCGCAT